TATATTCTTTTGTTTAGGCGAGAGATTGGCCTTAGAAATGTAATTGTATCAGGCTTAGTATACAAACAGTGTTTAAAGCTATGAAAATGGATAGAGAAAAGCCCAAATTCTTCAACTTTTAGCAATTGTAGAATAATAAAGCAAACATCTCACAAAACAAACATTTAAAAAGAAGCTGAGCGTCTTTACGTTTCAGAAAGGAAGAAATGTAGTAAGTAGTTCTCTAACGAAGGAAAATAAGACTTTTTGAATTCTTAAGAAAAGGATTACATGGCAGTTCTGCTAATTCAGAATTGAAAATCCGCACTGTGGGTAGGAGGAATTGAGTTCATAGGTGTGTGTGAGCATGGGTAATTCATCTGGGAGCAGTGAAAAATATCTCAAGTACTTGGGTCTTGTCTGCCACCCCACAAGAGATTTAGGTGGAGTTCCTTGCTCCTGGCTTTGTCCTGACCAGACCTGGCTGTTGTGGCCATTTGGCTAGTGAACCAACAGAAGAAAGATTAAAAAATAAAAACAAACAAAGAAAAAAACCCAAGTTCTTTTTTCATTGCTCAGCCGTATATTCAGTTAGATGCAGTAATGATTTTGCATCTTGGCATCTTGGGACCCTTCAGAATTCATAGTCATTGACCATAATCAGTTAGTTAAAATCACTGTGGCAGAATTCCAGTATACCGCCATGAAATTTCATAGTCAAGTGTCACTGGCAAGTGGAGAATTTTCTTCCAATATGGGATAAAAAACTGGGAAGATCTGGTGCAGGAGAATGACGAGGACCTGCCACAGGGCTGGAAGTCACCAAGGATTATGTGACAATAAAGACAAAAGGAGTCCAGGAAGCAGAGGAATTGATGGAGTGAAATGCTGCTGAGAGGGCAGAACTGAGACCTGCCCCCTGTATCCGCAGCTTGAGGCCATCAATGACCATGCCACTGAGACAGACTTGAATTAATTGAGGGAAAATGGAGATACAATGTGGAGACAGGAGCAGAGACACATCTTTGAAAAGACTCATCTGTAAGTGAGAGCAGAGTAAAAGGGCAATGGCTGAAGAGGTCAAAGATTGTTTTCACTTTTCTCCTGAAAATGGTACATGCTTGCTGCAGTTGAGATTGACTTGTTAGAGTGGGAGAGTTGTTGGTGTAGGAGAAAAGGGGAGACAGCTGTAATAGCAAATTCCTTGGGAAAGGACAAGATTAACACCTTGGTGGAAAGGCTGGCACTGCTTAAGCATATAGACAGCTTATCTTTTAAGAGGAGAGAAGGAAGTAGGTAGGTAGATTTATCTTTAGGAAGATGGATAGATTTGCTTCTCTTTTTTAGTCAGTAAGATACAAAACAAGGTTATTCTCTAAGAATGTGGAGGAATGAGTGAATCAGAGGTTTGAGTAGCAAGTCCAACATAGTTATGCTAGAAAGAGGGAGGGTGGTTGAGTGGGTAAGGGGTGTAGTAGTATTCGTGGATAGTCCTAAGGGTCTTTGGGGGTCTCTGATAATGGAATGAGGCATGTTGCCCTCCCTGTGTGTTCCTCCCAGTCTCCTCTCCCAGGATCACATGTAGTTGCTTCGGAACGATTGTGGTGGGGGAAATAGGCAAAGGAATTGGCATTGCATACATGGGAATAATTATAGAGATTGACTCTGAAATCTGAACTGGAGACCTTAGGGGATGATTCAGCCAGGACATGGTATTTTCCCTCTGCCCTTACACCATGGACTGTCTAGAAATGGCTCAGGAAATCACCATAAATAAATAGACAATCCTATTGATAGCCAACCAATAATCCCTCAGTCCCAATTCACTTCTTTCCCTTTTTCTGTTTACTCTCAGGCCATCTTTGATCTGTCCACTGAGATAGCTGGCAGCTCCTGCATCTATTTCCTCCCATCCTTTCTTTCACGCTTCGTATCACTGTTCCCAAGATTGACTCTACCAGGACCAGTAGGATGTAATTCACACCGTTGCCCCATGAATCTATTGCAGCAGGCCCATTTTTACCCTGGATCTTCAGAGTTTTAGAGCAGACACCAAAAGATAAGTCTGTCCTGTCACATGGATTGATTCTCATGGCATTAGTCATTTACCTCATTATAGAAAGATTTTATCAATTTTATGAATTTTCTGAGTCTTTGCCTTTTTGGACTGGGAAACTCAAAGTGATGTTGAGTCCTCTGTTAGTCCTCCTAGCCTCAGGTAGCTAGTCACTCTACATAGCCATCTCTGAGGACCCCACTGGGGCTTTGTGAAGCCAGAATTCAAGGAGTTCCTACAAGAACAGGGTAGGATTCTACTTCAACTCTGAAGATACCCAGTGACTTATTAGCGTGTTGGGGTGTAAAATGTTTTAAGCTGAGATCTTTAAGGATGACCCACAACAATGTCCACGTTCCCTCCCTGGGTCATGACTCAGCACTCAAAGACTATGCTTTTGAATATTTTTATATATTATCCCTGAAATATTACTTAGCCCCTATCTGGGTGAAAGGTCAACTGGCATCCTGTGCCCACTCATGGATTCAGCAGTGCAACCTAATGTCTAGCAGCTTGATCTCTTATACCCAGGATATCACCTGCCATCCAGTGCCCACTCATGGATTCACAAGCGCCTCCTGAAGCCTAACGCTGCCCACTGGTCCTTCACATCTTGGAAGAAGTTAATACCAACCTCAAACTGAATGGCTAACAAAGATAACATCACTTGGAAACAAGAAATTTAGCTTCAGTTTTGTCATGCTGTTACTTCAAAATTACTTAAAATTCAGCTAAACTGATGACTCAGATATAAAAATGACAGTTTTTATTCATAAGGGATCCTTACAAGGCAGAGTAGATTCTTTGTTGTCAGGGTCTTCCATAATGTTGCCCTGTCCTGGAACATGCACAGTGGTACCCTCCAACATTAGCCATTGCCTTGCAGGGCCATGTGAGACTCTGTCGAGAGCTGAGGACCACTCTGTACCAGTTTGTGGGGGATGGTAGAAAGAGCAGAGGTTTGGATTTGGGGTATACTGATTGTCTTCCCATCAAGGCATCTAACCTCTTGAAGCCTCAGTTTCTCGAACTGCAAAATGGAATCAAATAATAATACTTTTCCACAGCTGTTAAGAGAATAAGTGAAATCACACTTAGCACAGTGCCTGCACATAGGTGCCTTAAGAATATGTACTATTATTTTTAAAAATCTGGTAAGTATAGCCTTATCTTAAAAAAGTCCGCATCACCTTGCAGTCACTCCCTTGAGCTTCATTGTCCATTTATAAAACAGAACTAATGTGAGGGTGAAATGAGATGGCCTTTCTCTGCAGACTCACTAGTATAGCTGCTGGGCTCTTTCAGTGCATTTCAAATCTCTAAACCATTTTGCAGAAATATTGAAAAAAAAAATGGATCTAGCACTAATCAACTGAATTCTGATCTCTGCAGATAAGATGTGGGAGAAAAATCTCAAATGCTGCCTTTTCTGGGTACCCAGGAGCCAGCACTTTCTGCTGTAGTCAATGGAAGGCAGATACATGAAGTTTCTTGTTTTCTCTTTTTCAAGAAGGAAAACAAAGTGCTCATCTATTTCCAGTTGTATATGATCTTGTGTTCAACTTTAACCAAAATACAGCACCTGTAGAGGAAACAGTGGAAGGGGTCAAAGGGCTGTCCTGGGTGGCCAGGCCAGAGATTTCTCTAATGTATAAAGTAGGATCAATAGTAAAAGGAATTAGTAAAAGGAATAGCAAAAGGAATTAGAAGGACACTAGGGCCAGGAGGAGTGTGTGCCTGGCATGACAATGGAGGAATCCACTAAGCACATAGGGCTGGAATAGGGCGTCTGCTGCTTCTGCTTCCTTCCTTTCTTTCTTCTTCCTCCTCTTGCTTTTCAAAGTCTCTCCAAGATGTCTAACTCTTCCTGCTAGAATCTATCAGACTGCTCATGGCGGAACATGGTCTTTTTTTTGGGCCAAGCAACTGTGACTCAGCTCATGATTTTGTAACTTGCCCCTCTGAATTCTCAGTTATTGCATCCATAAAATGGGGATGGAAAGTGCTATCTCAGAGAGTCACTGTGCATATCATGTAATGTTCTGTGGAGAAAGGACCCAGTAGAGAACCTGATCTATGGAAGTTGCAGAAGAAATCCAGGTTCCTTTTTTTCCTTCACCTGTATTCAGTTTTGTTAAACATCTGTCTACTAAATAGAGCAAAATTCTCAAACTCCTCCCTGTTTAATAGGAAAATCTTTGTGTGCCATAAACTATTAGCAAACGGTGATTGAGTTGGGGATTTTCTGGGAAGAACTGCATAAGATAATGCAGCATGGGTTCATTTGATTTGTAGATATATTGTAATGATTTTTCAACACACAAAACCCACTTGAGGTACTGTTAAAGAAGGGAATAATGCAGCTTTGCTCCTTTTCCCTCAACCTTTCTTTCTCTCATGCAAATCAGAAGCATTAATCCTTTGTGGCTGTCTGACCTCTTAGATATGGGAAAACACATCACCTCGCCTTTTTACTCGTGAAAATAACACAATTGTCAGTATCCATAACTTGTGAGTGCAATTTCAACCCTCTCATTGATAAGGCAATAGCCCAAGCCAACAACATTAGATGAAGTTGCAAATCTAAACGTAGAGATGGAGACATTATTTGGACAAGATGAACCAAAGTTCTCCATAGAGTAGCACAAATTCTTATATATAGAATAGACTGTGCATAGAACTATTAGACCAAGCCATTTAGTCATCTGGCTTCTAGTTCATCTTCCGGAGATCCTCAGCCTGGCCTTGGCCACAGTGTTTAGACTTCTAAATCTGGCTGACCTTGAAAGAGAATGTGCATCAAGGCTGCTAGTTCAACTCTATCTGCTAATGGCACAGTCCTTTTTTTTTTTTTTTTCTGTATCTTTCCAATGGAAGTAATAAAAGCACCTTGTGAACTTTGTTTGTGACTGAAATTGAATGACAGCACATGGGCAAGTATTCTCTTCTTTGTCTGTCTGTCCAGGTCCCAGCTCCTTGGAATCACCAACACACATGCCTTCTCTTCCTCCTGACTACTTCTCATGGAATCTGACCTGGACAATGAAAGATTCCTTCCCTTTCTTGTCTCATCGAAGCCGATATGGTGAGTACATTTTTGACAGATATTTGTGATGTGTGTCACTATCTCATCATGAAGAAAGCTCTGTGCATTTCAGTTTGTGGTGAATATACTCCAGTTGTCTCTCAGCTTCATAAATGCAAAAAAAAAAATGTGGTGTTCCCTTTGTCTCTAAGTGATGCCTCATCCTGCCAGACCATTCTACCCATGCCAGTCCCGCTGGACTCTGTATCCTGGAAGAGGCCAAGAGCTTTGTTCCCACAGTGTCCCATCCCCCAGCCATTATGGTGTAAGGAATTCCCAGCATCACTTTATCAATCATTAAATGTGGTGCTTATTTGCATTTTGCGTAAGGTTGTAGCCTACAGCATTTCTAACAGTCATGATCTTTTGAGAGGGGGTATTATTAGAGTCACAGATCTTTCAGTGTCCCTTGGCTGCCTTACACCTGCATATAGTTTCCCACTCATGTTCTTCAGTGTTATCCCGGTGAATTTGGTTCTACAGTAGTCTCTGAGATAAGGAGATCCCATTCTGTTTTTTTATAGCTGTAGCAACTGAGTTTCGGTGCTGGTATTGTGGCTCAGTAGAGGAAATCTCCTCTTTCAGAAGCTCTGGCATCCCAAATGGGCACTGTTTTGTGTCTGGGTTGCACCACTTCCACTGCAGCTCTCTGGTATGGCCTGTGAAAATAGTGGAGGAGGGCCCAAAGCCTTGGGACATTTCACCCTGTTGGAGACTGTCCACGTGGGAAGAAGCTCCTGGCTCCTGGCTCCTGGCTTCAGGTTGGCTCAGCTCCTGCCATTGAGGCTATTTGGGAAGTGAGACAGTGGATAGAGGATCTTCTGTCTCTTTTTCTCTATAAGTCTACATAATTTAAAATAAATAAATCTTAAGGAAAAAAAAGAGAAAGAAACTATATTTTGTAGAGTGGGTTTTCTAGCTACATGGTCAAAAGTCTTCCCTTGGGTTTGGTTTTTCTCAACCCAGCAAGTCCAGTCCTGTAAATCTCAGAAGGCCATTTTCATATGGTGCAGGAGTCCTTACTGCCACTGTTCATCCTGACAGTTCCTAGCAACTGTGCCATGGTAGTGGGAAAAATAGGTATGAAGGAGAGTGGATGCATTTCCAGGCAAATGGTTTTCTTTCTCTGCAACTCCTGTACGAAGCACCCTGTAGGCATGTGGATTGGATGCCCACTTGATCTCATCCCCTGGAAGACACAAAGACCTGTATATGATGGGTAAATGCAGAAAGCCTCTAAAGATCTAAAGATAGAATGGTCTCATCCCACCTGATTGAATTAAGTGAGTTCTAGATCCCCTCCTGGGCATATTTATTTATTCCTGCTCTTCAGTCTCTGCCCTTGGAGCTGAACTATTCAGAACACACCTAATTGAGATGTTCCATTCAAGGTAGAAAAGCTTCTGATCCAAAGCCGGTTGTCCTTCATGTGTGATACAGTCTTAGTTCATGTTAATGGTACCTCTCATTTCAAACTTAAGAATATAAATGTACCAAAATCCTGAGGGCAGATAAAATTATACTTTGTGCTGTAATATTTCCCAGCACTCCTCAGCATCACCAGTGGGAAAGAAGAATGACAGTTCCTAGGAGATTTTAGATAAGCCATACGTCTGAATTTATGTAAGCCTGGTACTGAGTGCCATCTTATCATAAGGGCAAGTATCTGTAAATGACTGAACTCTGGTCCTTTGTGTTTTTAATGTTTTGTAATCAAATTTGTAATACACTGGTAGTCAGATAACAATTTTGAGTTTGCTCTTAAAGTCAGTATCTCCACAAGAGAACAACTTTTATAAACTGCAGTAAGTCCCCAAAAGTAGGTCTAACTGTTATGTGCCCAACAGAATAACTATTTGTTCCTTGTAGAGTGCCTTAAAGGAGGTTGCATATTGACAAGGGAAAACGGTTGGAGCTTGTTAAACTTCTACCTACCCAAGGCTTAGCCCTATAAACCCATGTGCCTTTTCTGAGCTGTGCTTTCCACATCTGTAAAATGAGAGTGGAGTGATATGTCCTGAAACAAAGGAATAGACTGGATATTTCTCAAGATCCTTTTCAGATTTTCCATGTAGCCTAGACTCCTCATGGTTTCCCTTGTTGGTAGTGGTGAGGACACACACATTGACTAGTTGTTGCCTGAATGCTAGAAGCCAGCACCAACAACAGCACCACTGCTACTGGTTTATGAGAACCAGCACTGACTCCCTGTTGATGGCCCCCGGCTGAGAGTCATGGTAATCCTGTTTACCTCCCTGCCACAGTTAATTCAATTGAGACCTATGAAGAACCTTCCTGCCCCTGCCCCGCCCCCTGCCTGTATGCCTGGCCCAGTGCCAAATGCAGAAGTAAATGAAAGTACAAGATGTGATTCTGCCTCTCAGAGCTTAGAGAAACACTGCTGTAGGCAGCTGGTCCATTTCCATGAAGAGTGTGCCCTGGGAACCAACCTCCATGTTAAGGACTCACACTGCAACCCAATGCAGAGCAAATGACGACAGAGGTAAGGCCACGACTTAGGAATGCTTGTGGGGACTCAGCCTTCATGTCCATGAACCAGAGAGACTGGCAGGCCCATGGGTGATAAATCTATACCTTTCATCTGCCAAGAAAGACATTTTAAGAAATGTTAACAACTTCATTAATTTTAAGACCTCAAACTTGGGCAGAGAAATTTCACTGGAAAAATCACTGCCTGAAGGGATAGTTTTCCCAGCAGGGAGGAGTCACCAAGTCTCAGCGGGGCCACTGTGGGGCTTCGTGCATGGCCAGCTGGCTTCACCTGCATTCTGGTTGGGGCAGGTGGCTGGAGGACAGTGAAAGCAGACGTCATGATGGACAGCGGGGGGTGAGCGGGACCAGTGCTCTCTCACACAGGCTGTCTGGTCTTGAATTGAATGTGGCTTTCTTTGTAGCAGTGTTTTATGAGAAGAGACGGAGTGGAGAGAAGCTAATAAGATTTACTCACCCCCAGCCTGTAATTATCTGCTTGAGGAAAAAGTTTGACCTACCTTTTTGAAGGGTCCCCATATTTCTTCTAATTTATGTTGGGGCCTCTAATGTTATATAAAATATAGTCCCTCTTGTGGCATTTAGTGTCCAGTTCCAGCTCTTTCTTGCCTGTCTTCAGTGATGAGAATAAGCGAATTCCATCAACAACCAGCAGTAGTACATGCCTCCCCCAAAGGCTTTGCAAGGGGGAAGAACATCTAAAGAAGTATTTGTGTTTGGTTTTCCTTTTGTCATCAGCTTTGACGTCTGAAGAATTACAGGCCTGACTGAAGGATTGGGCTGTAATGGCTGAAATGACATTCTGTCCATTGGGGAGCATGCCAGGCTGAGAGGTGGAGGTCCCTGGGGGTTCTGTAAGAGAGTGATAATCACCTTGAATTTTAGAACCAGAGATATTGTGGTATCGTCCCACTTGGCATGCATACCGTCTCACTCCTGGCATAGGGAGTACCAGACCAACATTTTCAACAGAATGACCAAAAGCCCTGGCCAATATGAGCAGGAGAAAGGGAATTTAATTTTTTTTTTTTACTTTCAAAAACTCCTTTCACATGCATTTTTTTTTTTCATTTAGGCTGCATTAAAAATTGTAGTAGGTGGAAATTATTTTATATTTCATTTTTGTAGAAATTTAAATTAAAAGCCAAAGGAATTTATTAATGTGCTCTCAAGTTGTAGAGCAGGTGAGCAGTTAGAAAAGAATGAACTAGGACTTTCTGACTCCAATTTGAGGAACTCCTCACTGGTGAATGCTTTCACTTCACTTTCACTTCTTAGAACACTTTCACTTCAAGGTGAGGACTTTAGCTGCTAGGCCACGTCGCCGGGCCTGAGCTTGTGTTTTGACTGAATGATCAGTCTAGTGTATAAGACCATGAGTTGAGGGCCCAGTGCGGTAGCTTAGTGGCTAAAGTCCTCACCTTGTATGTGCCAGGATCCCATATGGACACCAGTTCTAGACTTAGCAGCCCTGCTTCCCATCCAGTTCTTTGCTTGTGGCCTGGGAAAGCAGTCAAGGACAACCCAAAGCCTTGGGACACTGCACCTGCATGAGAGACCAGGAAGAGGCTCCTGGCCATGGCTTTGGATTGGCTCAATTCTGGCCATTGTGGCTACTTGGGGAGTGAATCATCAGACAGAAGATCTTCCTCTCTCTTTCCTCCTCCTCTCTGTATATCTGACTTTCCAATAAAAAATAAAATAAATCTTAAAAAAAACCCCACAAGTTGAAGTCTCTAAGCTGTGACTCTCCCACAGCAGGTGATCTACCTCTTAAACGTGGGTATAGATACCTTGCTACTCTAGGTAGTTTTGTCTTTGTTGCCATCCCTTCTTTCCTTCTTTCGAATATAGGCCCTATCTTTGTATCGTCCCAAAAGATAAATGTTAAAGCCCTAACCCCAACCTCTATTCCTGTGAATATAACCTTATTTGGAAATACAATCTTTGTAGAAGTAATCAAACAAAAAGTAGTGTGGTCCCTAACCCGACATGACTGATTGTTATTAAAAGGGAAAATATTGGCCAATGTTGTGCTGTCATGGCTAAAGCTGCCATTTTTAAGTTTGGCATCTCATATAGACACCAGTTGTGTCCTGTCTCCCTGTTAATGGTCTACAAAATGCAATGGAAGATGGCCCAAGTGCGTGGGTTCCTGCCACCCACATGGGAAACCTGGATGGAGTTCCTGGTCCCTGAATTGACCTGGTTTGACACTGTCTACTGTGACCACATTGGGAGTGTACTAGAGGGTGGAAGATCTCTTTCTGTTTTTCCCTCTCTCTATGTAACTCTTTCAAATAAATAATAATTTTTAAAAGAAAGCAAGCTGAGATACGGTGAACCGTGTGACCGTGGAGTCAGAACAAAGTGTCTACAAGCTGAAGAACAGCAAAGATTGCTGGCAACATTAGAATTCAAAACATAGCAAGGGTTGGATTCACATTCAGAAGTCTGGAGGAGCAGGGCCGTGCCAGCACGTTGAGTTT